CCCAACGTTGTCAGAGAATCCTGTGAAGTGGCACAACGCATGTAACCTCTCTGGTCGACCTTGTACCGCATGACTTGAATCTCGTGAGACATCGCAACTGTCCACAAAAGAAGAATTCATCTCTTTCCAGGAGCTGTTACTGGAAATTTCGATCTCGGCTGGCTGTCCAAACAGACCATTTATTTTTATAAACAGCGAACTAAACCTTAGAAGCGTATTTAAGATTGATCCAGGAAATGCTACAGTTAATGTAGCGTACACAGTTCATCAGTAGCATTTCACCTTTTCTGTACTGTTTTTGATTCTAGCCCTAACCCTGACAATCTCACCTAGGAACACAAGTATTCCTCAACTTACGACCGTTTGTTTAATGACCGAAGTTACAAGGGCACTGAAAAAAGGGACCTTGTGAACGTTTTTTGCACGACGGTTGCAGCATCCACGTGAACAGCGTTCACACGCTTGGCAACTGACATGTACTTATGACGGTCGCAGTGTCCCGGGGTCATGTGATCCTTCTTTACGACCTTTTCTGACAAGCAGAGTCAATGGGGGGAAGCCAGATTCCCCGAAGAACTGTGTTACCAACTTAACAACTTCAGTGATTCACTTAACAAATATGGCAAGGAAAATGGCAAAACGGGGCAAAACTGTCTCACTCAGTTACGGAAATTTTGCGGCTCCACTGTGTGGCCGTAAATCGGGATCTACCTGTATTTCCCAGGTCAGCCAGAACATGCTTCCCTTCCAAGGAACATTCTGTTCTTTAAGCAGAGGATCACTATGCAGAAATGCAACCAGGAGCTTGCATGAAAGAAGAGGAAATGCTTTGCATTTTCTACTCTCATTAAAAAAAAATTATTATATTCCTGTTCAATTCTATCCCATTAGACTCAGCAAAGTTTTCAAAATAAAAGCGAGAGACTTTTATCAAGGAGAGAAGCAACCTGGAACTAAGGAGAAACTTCCTGACAGTGAGAACAATTAACCAGTGGAACAACCTGCCTCCAGAAGCGGTGAATGCTCCAACACTGGAAGGTTTTGAAGAAGAGACTGGACAGCCGTTTGTCTGAAATGGTATAGGGTTACCTGCCTAAGCAGGGGGTTGGACTAGAGGACCTCCAGGGTCCCTTCCAACATCATCATCATCATAATTATTATAGACTGAACCTCTTTTAAGTCACACAAACTGCCCTTTAGAACAAAAACAGCAGCATGCCACAAAGGTGCCTGGCAACATGGAGGAGATTTATATATATTGAAAAAAAACAAAACTATATCTAGTGATTTAACCAGTTGGGTAAGGATCAATTAATAATATTTATTGCTTTCTTGGCCCTTTCCAAACATTCAGAAAGTGCTTATTAAAACAGCCAGAGATGGTGGCGTGTTAATTACAGGCACCCAGGTTCACAAGAGAAAAAAAAAATTAAGCCAATAATTTATGGCTGAAACA